CCGCGCTGATTTCGTTGATGCCGCTCGGCCGCCGCTGCCCGCTCCGTCCCACCGGGACCGCGGCGCCCCGGGCGCGCCCAGGCTGGGGGGGGGACCGGGGGTGGCGAAACCCCAACAACCCCCCTTGGGGGGGGCTCCGGCGGGGGGAGAAAACCCCATCAACGGGGCCGGCGGGGAGTGGGAGAACCGAGGGCCGGGGGAGAACGAAAGATGGGGGGAAAAAAGGGCGAGACGTGGCGGAGAAACAAAATCAACATGGAAGTTGCCTTTTCTCCATTCAAGTTTCCTCCGCTGCCCTCCCAACCCTCCACTTCTTACATAACTCACCTTCGGGCGGACCGCAGGAATTCTTATTTCATTGTTCCCAGCATCTTCTGGGAGCGGGACGCGGCTCCTTGAGGTGCTCCAGCCTCCTGCAGTCCTCTATCCAAAAGGAGGCGAGAGTGGCATCTCTACCCAGCAAAGGGGGTACCAGCTCTGCTGCCAGTGCCATATGGTTGGCACGTCATGCGCGAGAGCTATCACATGAGAGCTAATGATTGACATGCGCTTGCATTCAGGGAGATTTGTCTCTCTGGGGAAGGAGGACTCGCCATCTGTCACTCTGTACTCTAAAAAAAAAAAAAAAAAAAAAAAAAAAAAAAAAAAAAAAAAAAAAACCTCTTCCAAATCTCCAGCTCTGCCTACACGCTGCAAAATGGGACCCGGGCGAGATGCAGGCGATGGCGGGGCCGGGAGGAACAATGGAGCCAGCGGGAAAAGCGGTCATCCCGGCTGGGCCAAGCGTGGCGGGGACACAGGCGGGCGCTGGGGTGAGGGGGGAGATGCCACGGGGACCCTCGCTGGGAGCTGGCATCTGCGGCTCGCCGCAAAATGCCGCGGCGGCTCGCCCGGGTCCGTCCCCACCCTCAGCCGGCAGCCGAGCGGCGATGGCTGCGGTGGCGAGGGCCTGGCGTGGGCTGGGGGCTGCGGCCGGCCACCGTGGCGGTGGTGGCGGTGGTGGCGGTGGTGGCGGTGCCCGGTTTGGCCACACCGGTGCTGGCACGGGGCTGCAGGTGTGGCGTGGGCAGGGCTGGTGGCTGCGGGGCCGAGTGTCCCCACGCGGGTGGCACATGGACACGCTGGCACCCCCATGGCAGCACGGCCACGCCGATGTCCCTGCACCCACGGCACAGCCCCACACAGCCCTTGGCACACTCTGTGCACACACACACAGCGCACAAACCCCTTTGCACACTCACACCCTCCCTGGTGCACACGGGGGCTGAGCCTCCGCGGGTGCCGCTCCCATGGCGGTGGTGGCCGAGGCCCGCTCATGCCATGGCACAGCCAACAAGGCCTTTGTCTGTCGGGTGAATCCTCACTGCTCTGTCACCCTCCGGCCTCCAAATCTGTGCCCACCACGGCGTCTGTGCACCCAAAAATCGCTGCTGCCCTTTCTGTGGGCTGYAGCAGGGCCAAGGAGCTCAAACAGGCACGTGGTGTCCCCAGAAGCCACATCCCATCACTCYGTGTCCCTCTCCTGGCTGTACCCATCGAGATCGATGCCATGTCCTGGATCTCCTCTGTYCCCACAAACACCGGGGGTCGGGACCTGCCTGGCTCGAGGGGTGCGGGCAGRGTTGGGTGCCACACACTGCCATGTGCTGGCCACACACAGCAGGCCAGGGTGGCACGGCCACGGYGGGGACACGGTGACAGTGGTGGCCGTGGCTGTGCCCACACGCAGACAAAGGGCTGGCCGTTCCCGGCCACCGGGGCTGTGCCAGCGGCGTCGGCGGTGCCCATTCCCCTGGTGCAGGTGCCGGGGCTGGCACACSACAGAGGATCCCCACCGGTGGCGAGCGTCCCCCCGGCACGTTCCCGCTGCCGAACCCTCCGACTGTCACTCACAGCAGCGGCCGAGCAGATGGCACCTGGGCTGGAGCCGGCCCGCGGGGAGGCAGGGCACACCCCGGCCCGTGCTGGGCACCGCTTCCAGGGCATCCTCCCGGCACAGCGCGTCCCTTCCCCGCAGCCCSGTTCAGCTCCCTCTGCTGCTGCCATCTTCGTTTTGCCAGCGGGTGCCCCTGGGTGTCACCGTGCCCTCACCTGATGCCTGTGACTCACTCTGGGTGAGTCCCCACCCCCCTGCCATCGGTCCCCAGCCCTTGGTGGGTGACCACACCCTGCACGTAAAGGCAGCGAAGCCATCGGTGCCCTCGCTCCTGGCACCAAACTCACGGCCTGTGGGGCACCCATGAGCCCACCTGAGGCTGAGGAGATGCCGAGYGTGAGCGGCCGAGCTGGCCCATGTGGGGACAGTGATGGGGACAGCGACACGCCACGATCCCCGGCCCGGTGTACCCGTTAGAGCCTAATTAGCAGCCGGAACGCGAGGGTGGGCGCCGGCGTGAGGCTCATCAGCATGCGCAGTGCTCGGAGGGAGAAGAAAGTGGAGACATGAAACGGGGAGAGGAGATGAAAGGGGAGAGGGGAGATGAAAACCCAAACCGCTGCCTCGTGGCCGGACAGTGCCCGGACACGGCCCAGGGGAAGGCAGGAGCGGGATCCCGGTGCTGTCCCTGCGCTGTCCCTTCCACCGTGGCCGTGATGGCGCAGGGCAGAGYGGGGCAGGGACAGCCCCATCGTGGTCCCTGAGTGAATTTGGGCGGGGGGCTCCCAGCCAGGGAGGTGAGCAGGGTTCTGGCTCAATGCAGGGGTTGGAAGAGCAGATCCATTCCACGGGAATTGGGGCTGCCCCGTGCAGCAGGGGTGGGTGAGGCTGAAGTGAGCCCGGGATCAGGCACAGTTTGGGGAGAAGGGTGGGAGCAGGGGCAGGGCTGGGCGCTGCCTTTTTGGGTGTGGGGACTGGGGGAGACGGGCCCGGTGACCCCAGGGCTCTRYTCCCATCCCGCTGGTGGTCCTTGTRWGYAGGGACCGGCTGTCCCAGCACCGCCACCTCTGTCCCCTGGCCACCCCAGCCACATCTCTGGTGGCCTCAGTGCCCAGCAGGCACAGCGGGGAGTTTGGCTGAGGCGTGAACCTCCTTCCTCCTCCAAAATCCATCCTCGCCTCCAGCAAGAAGGCGATGGACGCAGACGGGGCAGCCACGGCTCCATCCCCGAGATGCGTGCCAGGGGACAMGTGCCATGCGGAGGGGACACCGTGAGGGCACGGGCAGAGCCGGCGGTGGGATCCGGGTGCTGGGTGGTGCCGGGACCCGGCTGGGAGCCAGCTGGGCCCGTGGCGGCTCCAGGGGCCCCGCGTGGGGCGAGTTCGCCGGGGCTCAGCCGGCTGCCGCATCCCCAGCGTGGGGCCGGTGCTCGGCACGGCTGCGGCTGCCTCGGCCGGGCCGGGCTGTCCCTCCCCGGTGCGGCTCGGGGGTCGCCCCAGCTGGCTCCCRTCGCCGGTGGGGTCCTCGCTGCCCCTCGGCGAGGCCGATCCGTGCGGGGCCCGGGCGATGGATCCGGCCCCGGCATCTCCCCGCGAGCGGCGGCGGGGGGAGGCGGGGGCCGCTGCCAGATGGAGCCGGCTCTGCACTGCAATATTTCTGGGAGGTGAAGGCTGGGGAGAGATGGATGCGCTAACGTGCGGCGGAGCCACCGCCGGGAATGTCACCGAGGGGAGGAGAGCGACGGCAGCAGGAGCTGAGCCCGTCCCTGTCCCCGTCCCTGTCCCCATCGCTGTCCCCATCGCTGTCCCCTTCCCTGTCCCCATCCTTGTCCCCGCTGCCTTCGGGCCGTGTCCCTGCAGCAGCTCCTCCCTCGCAGGAGCCACCCCTGGGCATCTGCCACTCACCGGGTGAGCGGGGAGGGTGGGGGGCTCTGGGGGATGGGGAGGGGTGGGTGGTGCCCTGCCGGTCCCCGTGTCCCTAAAAGTCCCTGCAGCGGTGACTGCTGGGTCACGGGTGGGGAGGCTGGAAGGAGGAGGGAAACTGAGGGAAAAATTGAGGGAAACTGGCTGAAATGGGATCAGGGAGGTTTAGGGGATCCCTCAGAGGGGTTTAGGGATCCCTCAGAGGGGTTTAGACGATCCCTCAGGGGGGTTTAGGGGATCCCTCAGGGGGGTTTAGGGGATCCCTCAGAGGGGTTATGGGGATCCCCTCACCTTTTGCCAGGGAAGGATGGGGAGCCCTGGGATCCTGCTGGTTCCTGCTCCCAGGGCACCCAAAATCCTGCCCCCATTCCCCACCGGTGTCCCCCACATGTCCCCCCAGCCTGTCCCCCCATCCTGTCCTCCATCCTGTTCCCCATCCTGTCCCCCAGCCTGTCCCCCGCAGTCACACACAGGCCAGGGATGTGACAAGCGCTTTTTAAGCCTCACGTTGTTAATTAGGAAAACGATACCTGGGAGTTGTCGGAAGGGGGAAACTGCCGGAGCTGCGGCTCCGTGTGGGGCTGGGGACGGACGGTCACGGGCTGGGGACAAAGGGGACTGTCCCCCGCTGCTCCATGGTCCTTTGTCATCCGCTGTGTTCGCCCCTGCTGGGGCCAGGACAGGGACCCCGACCCAGGGCTGGAGGGAGCTGCCACTGTGCCACCAGCAAAGCTGGCTGCTGTTAAGGTGACAAGGCCACCTTGRTGATGTCACAAGAGTCTATGACATCACAACTGGACTGTGACGTCACCGGGCTTCAGGAGTGGCCAGAGCAGCCCCTCCGTGGCCACCCCAGCAGGTTTAGGGGCACACACTGGTGGTGCCACCAGCACAGGCGTGGCTGAGTGGGTACTGGTGGCAGTGGCCCTGTCCCCACCGTGGCAGATGGCCCCACCTGGGCACATTTCAGGGCTCTGCCAGGGCCTGGTGACGGGGGAATGTGGCAAAGGCGGGTGGTGGGGGCTGCCTGTGCTCATGTCCGCCCTCCATCACCCCCCACCCCACCCACCTGCCCCCCAAAACCAGGGCAGGGGGCTGGTGGCCCTCCCAGGAGTGTGCTGAGTGTGTCAGGGCTCAGCCAGGCGGGTGGGCACAGGGGAGCAGGCACCGGGGTGGCACCGGGGTGGCACCGGGGTGGCACCGGGGTGGCACCAGGGACAAAAGCCAAGGGCTGCACTCGGAGCTGTGGGGCTCGGGGTGCCATATCCCATCCTGGGAGGGTCTCAGGTCACCATCCCTTGGGAGAGGGTCCAGCCCCAGTGGGTTCGGCTGCTCCTGCCACCTCCATGGCACTGGGCACCCTGGGGTGCTCTCCCCATCCCGGGGTGCTCCGATCCCTGGGGACACCGGGGACCCCCAACTGCCTTCAAAGACCCCCACCCTCAGGAGCAGCACTCCCACCCCAACCCCGAGTTGGGGAGGGGGGGCCCGGCAGGGAGTGGATTTGGGGAGATGGGGAGGGTCTCCATGGCGACAGAGCGCGATGACGACAGTCGCCATGGCGAGGCTGCGTGGCCCGGCCCGTTGCCATGGCGATGCGCCTGGCACAGCGAGTCGCCATGGAGATGGCCGAGGGATGGAGCGGTCCCCGTGGCTCGGGGACC